GTGCCGTGTGTTGAACCATTCGTCCATACCATCCCTCGCTTCAGGTAGTCGGCAATAACCTCAATGAAGAACCCGAACAAATTGGGACTCATGGGACACCCCTGCTTCACGCCCTGCAGAGAGGCAAAGATGGACCCTAGGCGACCGTTAACCTTGACCCGTTGGAGAACACGTTCGTAGCTGGCTTTAAGGGCCGTCAACATGGGTCCATGCACACCCCTCTCCTCAAGACGCTGCCACAGGCTTGCCCGGGGCACTCTATCAAAGGCTTTCTCAAAATCCACCTGACACGCATACAGGGCCTGATTGCTGCCGGGCCGCTCATAACGACTTTTAAGATGACGAACAACGAACAACTGATGAACTGTACTGCGCTTTTGACGGGACCCAGCCTGAAAACGGCACCGGACACCATCTTTATCCCCGAAAGCTGCCAGCCGCCTGTCGAGAACCGTGGCATAGCATTTGGCAATGGCGCATCCCACAGCTAGACCCCTGTAGTTGTCCTTGACCCTGGGGTCGCCTTTCTTAAATAACGGACTGAGAGACGCCACGCAAAACTGGTCAGGCACATCCCCTGTATCCCAAATGTGCTGGAAAAGGTCTCGAATCGCAGGGGCAATAACATTGACAGACACCCTGTCCTCGTCACCTTCACGAGGGATTCGCTTGGCATACTTGTAGCACTCGGCCGGAACCATACCCAGACCCGGGGAACGCCCATTAGACAGGGACGACAAAGCCGCCTCAACCTCTTCAACCTGCATAATTTCCATGCCTTCAAACAAAAGAAAGGGCACAGCGTACACCCGGACACTCGGAGATGGTGCAAGGACGAGAAGAGGGACAAGGAACCAACCCGCAACGCTAGCCGACACGTACGGGAGCCGGGCAGGCGCTGGTACCCGAGGGCCGCCTATTCCAGCCTACAGCAGATTGCCGCCAGCGACTTAAGGCAGGGGCCGCACCCAGGGAGCCCTTGGTTAGAACACACTACCGCGACCTACGAACCAAAGCCACCTACAGGCTCCACATCATGTGCCCACCAGCGGTTTTACCATCAAGGGTCTGTAACACAGTCCGAGCATTGCACATCACGCATGAAAAGTCAACACAGCCAAGCACCTGGTTAGGGTGCATAATTACCAGGGGAACTAGCCATTGTACACACGGCCAGCGCTAGCTGCAGGTAAGCCTATTTAAAGGTGCGATCACTGGACAGTAATCACTCAGCAGCTCCCCAACTTTATTGCTCTCCAAATCTACCGTTTATTCCTGAATATTCAGCAATGGCGTCCTTGCAAAAGGGAGAATGCGAAACGATAAACGTTTTGTATCATGCTGTTCTCCGTTCCATGCTTCTGCGTTAAGCTAGAAGGTAAACTCGCCTACCTCATCCCCAGGACCGTGCACAATCAGAATGACCAAACCCAGTTCCGTGCAAACAGGTGTACGTCCAAACTAATTTCTGCTGCTGCTATCTGGGCTTCCCCTACCCGGAATTCCGTACGTGCGGTACGGCGCAGTCCTCCAAGGGCTCTTTCATGACCAGCCCATCACACCGTATTAACCATCACATCATGCATCATGTCGTAACGCCATTTCTGTTACAGGAATGCTGCGCTAAGGAGGCCTTATTAGTCGAAAGCGAAGGCCTCATGAACCAAAGAAACCACGAGAAGCGACGCGGGCGACGCGAACAGGGATGGGCGGGCAGGGTGCGCGCTGAACAGCAAAAGAACTATTTATGCGGCCCCGAGGACACGGGCCGTGGCGAAGCAACCGAATGGTTGTATCGCCCAGAGGCCTTACGCCAACAAACCCGGCTTCCGTATTTCAAGCCCCCATGAGTGTCAGGATCCACTCAGGGGTCATCCGGCTCCACAGAGACCTAAAATCTTTCGCCCTTATCCTCGTCTATTTCTTGGTTGTGGAGTGCCATTCTCTGCCCGCAACAAGGTGCCCGTACTTTAAAAGAAAAACAACCTAAATAATCTAAGCTACTGCACTTCAAGCTTTTATATGATATCAGGCTGACAAGGTTTCCCAGCATATTTATGGCTTTAGCTGGCGCAGAGTATGCTGCTAAGCTGAACAGGCATGCTTGCCCGAAGGGCGGCGGTCGTTGACCGCTCGGACTGCTATCGTCCACCTTCTGCAATGCATGCATAGGAATGTACAGCTGAATGTTTAATGTTACCTAAAATCTCTGCTGATTTAACGCTCGCAGGTAAATTTTGGAGCATGCCCCTCCTTCCAACGGATGAAGGACGATTAGAGGCTCACAGCGTTCGCGGCGAGGCATCCGGGCCAGACAAAGACAATATTTTTTAATAATTATCAAGCGTACCGCTAGGGGCCAGCCCCCCTCTCCAGCACTGTACAGGACCATGAGCTGCGCGTACACGGACACGCAAACATTTCCTTCAACCACTTCAGTAGAAAAGAATAAAAAAAGCGTGGACCGCCTTGCTGGGAGGCACGCCTAGGCAGGACGACAAACGCAGGCAGAGCGGTCGGGGCCAGCATCTACCGCACACTGTCTCTCCAGTTTTCACGACGAAACAACTGTAACGCAGCACAGCACCTTCGGCCTCCGCCGCAACCGCCGACCAGGACCTCTACTAATGAAAAAGGTTATCCCCCTTGGCCCCCGTGTGACCATTACCAATCTGGAGTCCTGCACTCGAACCCGCACTGTATCTACTCATACAGAGCACCATCACGGCGAAGAAGGAGAAGCAAATAAAAACAGCACTGGCAGGAAGCGGCACCACCATTACTTTCACAACTACCACAGTACAAGCACAAGCACAATAACCAAATATCGCTACCAAGTACGAGTACGCTACCATGTGTGCCCGAGGGCAGCCTTGCAACCCCGTGGCCGCGTCAGGAAGTCTGGTGGTGGAACACGACCGCCGGGGTGTTAAGCACTGGTAGAAGACGGATCACTCCAAAATAGTGACTTCGCTGTCCATCGGCTCCAAGAGGTCCCGGGCGGAACCCACCGGGCTTCCACTCAACACATGCACACTCGTCCCACTCTCTACAAGACGACTCTTCAACTAATAATGGTGCTTCAATACTGAAAACCCAGATCGTCCTCAGCATGCATCGCTCTCAATCCCTCTGTGCCCTCTCCCTCACCTACCCTTTCACTCTTCTTCATGCATCCACATCAACTCGTCCCTTGTGCAGATATTTGCAGCATCACCAACACAAAAATGCAGTGCGTCCGTGTCTCACTGCTCGCGTTCGAGTCTCTCTATACTCGGAATCTCACGAGCGGCAGGAACTGAGCGTCGTGCGGCCGAGTCCAAACTTGTGAAAACGAACTCGGCGGCCGTGCGAGCCGGCGCTAGCGCCAGCCTCAAAAAATGCAAAACACGATAAGCAACGACAAAATCGTTCTGCTCCCGTCGCTACCCTGCCGCCGTCGCTCTTGCTGTGCGTACGACATGCCGCCGACCGACGCACGACGGAGATGCCGGAGAGCACTTACAGCTCGTACTCCACGACCCGGCTGTTCAGCAGCTGCAGAGGCCGCGTGTTAGTGGCGTAGGTCTTCTTGTCGCCAACAAACCGCATGAACTCCAGAATCTGGCGGAGGCAGAGTTCAGAGGATGGGCTTTTTGTGGCACGGAGGAAGGTTTCGAGCGCGGAAGGGTTCAGGACGTGCACTAGGAACAGCAACGGAAGATTGAGATCGAGACGGGAAGATGACTAGCTAGGTGGGTAGGTAGATGCAACAAATCCGCCCGCTGCAGTGTGATACAACAAGGCCGTCCACGTCCTTACTACTCTCACCTGGCTATCCGGCACCTTGATGGGGTTCATGAACACGAACCAGTCCACCCCCTCGGAGCATGGCGGTGTCGTCAGCGAGCCAGCATAATGCACAAACGATCTGCACACGAGCGATCGAAAAATGGAAGAGGATCCAGATGTTCAAATAGATTGCAGAATTAACATCCTGACCATCTTCAATCCAGGCCACGTACTAAAAGAAGTAGAAAGCACAACTTCGAAATGCGGCGCGTACTGCTGCAAGTGCTCTTGGCCACTTCAATATTGAACTGAACCGCAACATTGACTCGGAAAAAACACCACAGCCTTCAGTACCATCCTGCGAAGCTTAAAATCGCACCTGGAGCCGTCCTTGGCCTTCTTGGGCAGCAGCATGATGGGGTTGATGCCCTTGGGTGAGGACTTCTTGGCAAGGGGCGTCTCAGGCGCCACATCCAGAGCGGTCTGCAGCGCGGGGTTCTTAATCAAGCCACCCGGCTCCAGCATGATGCCCAGCACAGCTAGGTTGCCTGGTGAGGTTACGTGCACAGCCAGGAACGTACGTAAGAGGGGCGGGGTTGGTCGGAGCGAGGCGAATATGGACAATGTGCAAAGCGGGGGGGGGGGGGAAACAACATTAAGCATAAAACGAGCACGGAAAAAGTAGCAGCATCTGGTCCCCCAGACCCTTATCCGATCCGAGGACATAGCGGCTTTCAAGGTCTCTTCGCGTAGATACAATCTTTGAAGTCCAACCCAGCTTTTTCCCAGGGGATGTTCAAAGAGAGGATCAAGGTGAGGAGAGGGGAGGTTAGGTGTTCCAGCCCCCATGCAATACCGGTCCATGCTCACCCGTGCTCTTGTTCTTGTGCACAAGGTGAGCCTCCATGGCGTAGCGCCGTCCATCCATGGCGTGCTCGGAGGGCGCATGGAAGTGGAATTGAAGCAGCTCGAGCTCCATGTCCCCAACGTAGGCCAGGTTGCCGCCGGGAAAGTTCACCTGGAAGAAGAGCGGGATTTCAAAGGGCGGAAGGTTGCTTTATCGAGAGAAGGGTTAAAGGGATCCTGGACATTTTGTCTGCGGGGAAGAGACAAAGGTGCGCACCTTCAAGGTTCTGTCCAGACATTAATACGCACCTGCATAGTTCCGTGCCCCGTGTTCAGGACATCGCACTTCTCAAAACTACCATAAGCAAAATCGAAATCGCCCATCTCAGCGTCGACTTTGGGCGCAGAAGTGTTGACCGGGATGTTGATTGGCGACTGCCGCTTGCCGGTAGCACAAACGCCCTTCCAAGCCGGCGGGCCAGCAACTTCACCTGGAGACATTGAGTATGTATGCCAGTCATTCAGACTATCAGCAAGACGCGAAACATCCACTGCAACACCCACCGTAGCTCCAGCTCGCAGCTTTTGCCTCCCCAGGTTTGCAAATAGGGCAAGGGCATCCCACAAACGTGACAACTGAAGCTGCTGCGCCTGTCAAAAGTTGCCGCCGATCAATCAAGAGGCGACCGGTGCTGCTCGCTGCGCCAGAGGTAGAGGGCTGCGCATCAACGCCTGTTGATTCAGAAGCACGGACCTGCGCCAAGACCATTGTAAGTCCGTGACTTCATTCTTCCAAAAAATGACTGCAATTTTAAGCCTAACCTTGCAGGGCACTCGCCGCGCCTGACCGCGCTGAAGCGCAGAAGCGCTCCTGTCCACGACGGAACGCATCTAGAAGAAGTGACACAAACCCAGGGAATGGGTCAGTAATCAAATCGCCTTAACTAGACACCTTGTGTATCAAAGTCACCATGCATGCAAATAGCAGCAATGGGCACTGAAACCTGGGGCCACCGAATTCTGTACGACCTCCAACTCTTGCTCCGAAGGAACCTGATCCCTTTTTCCAATTGCCGTGTTTCCATTTGCCAAGCTTTTCAATTTGTTCAAGAAAGGAGGATTTGGGTTAAATCATAAACACGACTTTTAGCATTGCGAATGGGTAAGCAGGAGCAGTCCAGTGAAGCCGCTTAACTGGACTTCAAAGATTCTTTACCACGTAGGATGTTATGAGCTTGCAATCCTATCAAACTTGTGCACGTCCATTCTGCATGGATTAGGTCACCGTTCCAAATAATTTTGCGGCTCTACTTTTCAGCGGACATGAAAGAGAGAAATATATATTGAGTATACATAAATTGAAGCGTTATAGCAAGTGTTTTGGGATGATTGTGGCTTGCTAATCGGTACCTGAGGACGTTCTAGGCACACACAGGATTCCTGGCTGACGCGTGTGAACTATAAATGGATGGTGTACTTTTCTCCGTGCTCTCAAGCTGATGTCTCCTCGTAGGACCATCCACAGGTAACATGAAATGGAACAACCCTCGGTCAGGATGCTAACGTGGGAAATAGAAATAGACACTGTTTGTAATCTCTACCTCCATCATGGAAGCGGTGAAAGCAATATGCATATAAGGCGCTTATGTGCTTCTTGCAGTTGACTGGAAGCAACGACTTTGACGACGATGGCGATACCTACGAAAAAGCCTAAAGGACATCGAAAAATGAAGATAGAAACGAAAAATATTTTATGACGTCCCATCCTCCCCGGGAATCCAAAGAACTTGCAGATGAGAGGCGAAAGGGCTATGGAAAACCAAGGGTAATTGTTATACTACAAAGTGTGGCCTTAATGGCCATAAGTCAGAGCGATGTACTTGGCACAGTTATTGTGACTAAATAACGGTATGCTGTCCATGGCCCGAATCGAATTTGCATCCAGACCTTGAGTTGTGGAAATCGATACCACAACCACATCGCCGTACATCAGCCAGCAAGTGCTCCATAGCAGACATACATGCAAATTTTGCCTCTTATCTGACCTTTGTTACAGGCGACGCTACTCTGACTTTTCCTTCGCCGCGTCCTTTTAGCTGACTCCGGCGGCGGCCCACTGGACTTGTCTGCGCTTGCAACCCAGCAGCATTTAACAATAGGTTCTTACATTTACTTGTACGGTCCAGAGGAACGAAGCTGCAAACATGAAGGGCGCAACCTTACGCCAGCGACTTGCGTGTGGAGCAGCGCCCAGGTGGGCTACATCCTCCTCTTCCTCTTTCAATTTGTCAGTGGCGCAACTGTACTGCGTGGAAATGGCGCAAAAGACGCTTTGCGCCTCAGCGAAGCTTGCTTACACTTTGAATTGCAATTGTCCCAACCCCGCCAGGCGTTCCTTGCTCGCGTCGACGCGCCCCGGCATCCGGGTGTGCGTCATCGTGCCAAGCAAAGACAATGCATCGGGCAGCAGCGGCCAGGTAAGCCATCCGCTGCGATGCGGCCGCGGGCACCGGGGTTCGCCGCCGTCTCGAGCCGCATCTCGCCAACTGGGTGCCACATCAGCTCCTACTCGCGCGCATACAGGCAATCAATTTGGGTCGATTATTCAAAATTTCACATTCCACGTGGGCTCTAGTCCTCTCACCGCCGACGCGAAGTGCATTGCTCCCTCGCAGCAGCCGCGTCGCCGCATTCCGCCCAGTTTCATCACACGCCATGCTGCTTCGCCTTATATATCGCCGATCACCCCCTATCCATTCAATAAAGCCCGCCCGCTCGTCCCACAACACCACCCCAAATACCCATCTGGCTGTTCACCTCGCTTTTTTCCGCACCCGTGTCACGCCCGTGCTACAACACGCCGCCACCCGCCGCCACCCCACCCACCCGACCCCACGCCCATCGCAGCCGCGTCTTCCGCTGCTGTGGACTTTCCCTGACTCGGGCAGCAGCAGGGGCGTGCTAAAACACAAGCAGGTGTTGGAGGAGATGTTCAGCCGGGAAGTTGAGGAACCGACAACCGCTACCACTTCAACCGCTAGCCGGAACGAACACCTGTCAGGTAGCCCCTCCCCCACGGCCAGCACCAGCACCACCACAGCCCAGCTAGGACACAGCTACTCTGCGGACTCTCAGGAGCGGGCGCTGGATCAAGAACATGAAACGCGACAGCAGCAACAACAGCAGGGTGACCTCCACTTGAATGGGTTATCCATCCACGAGATAACTAGCTCACAGTCGCATTTACGCTCGGAGTCCCTGGCGCTCGAGAAGGAGGAGGAGGACCAGGAACAGCAGCTATTACTGGAGCTACAGCAGGAGCAGGCGGAAAATGACATCAGGGCTAAGGAAGCGGCGGCGCTACGAGAACGTATTTTGTCGCCATCTCTCGCATCCACGTCAGCCTCGTCTTCGGATAGCGTTCGGTCGCATTCCTACCGCAACCACCATAACCGCATTCATAACCACCATCACCATTATCACCACAACTACCATCAGCAACAGCAACAGCCCGGCCTTCCGAAGGTCACCGACCCAATGGGTGGATCATTACCGGGGGGGACTACGGACAGTGCCTCTGATGAGCCACACACCCACACTCCTGGCGGTGCTCAACCACAAGTCGCATTCGTTCCGGGGCACCCTCACCACCACCCCCACCAGCAACAGGTCAGTCAACACCACGACTCCGGATTACCGGATTTACCTCTACCTTCACAACATGGTAACTCACTTCTTCAGACGCAACACCACACCGTGACGCAGCCATCGCTTAACCCACACCACCAGCAACACCAGCAGCAGCAGCAGCTGCACCACACTCGCCTCAACCCCCAACACCAGCAACACCACCACCATCAGCAGCCGGCGGCGTTGCAGCACGGGGCAACAGCCGCGGCGGGGGCGCCGCCGGGCGCAGCAGCGGCAGCGGCGACTTCAGCTCCGGTTGCCCCGGCAGCTGACGGCGGCATTGCATCATCATCATCATCATCAGGTTCAGCTGCGGCGGTTACCGTTGCCGCCGCCGCCTCTTCTAGCAGCTCTCCTCCAGCTGCCCGGGACAGCCCCAGCTCCATTCCGAGCTCCATTTGGATCTTGTGTTGTATCTCCGCGGCGCTCACATGCGCCAGTTGCGTATTCAACACAGCACTGCCGATATACATGGTGAGAACAGAGAACAGGGAGGGGGCCCGGATACGAGGTGGGGGGCCGGAGAGGTGTTTTTTCCAATTCACCCAAAAAATTAAACCAACGTGAGCCTGCCTGATGAAACAAGGGATATCAACTGGGAGAGGGAGAGGGACGAGATGGGATTGAGGACAGGGAAGGGGAAACATGGGGGAGGGAAGGGGGGGAAGGGTGGCAAAGCTGTGCGCGTGTGTGTGTATGTGTCTCTGTGCGCGGTTTTGGATATTCGCTGCAATTTTTCGCCCCTTCCCTCTGACGTCTTGACTCTTCCTCTTTCCTTTTCCCCGGCCCTCCCCCTTTCCACCACCCTCCCCAGGTTAGCGAGCTCAAAATGAGCATGCGGTCCATGGGCATGTTTGAGGGCTTCTTGGAGGCGTTCTCGTACGTTGTACGGATGTGCTCAGGTGGGCCGCGTGGCGGCGGTGCTGGCGGCCGCGTGGGGGGAAGGGGAGTTGAGGGAGCGAGAGAAAAGAAGTTTGCCTTGGGTTCTGGAAGGTGGTCAGTGCAGCCGTTACTACTTTACCGTTTTAGGGAGGGTTTCGGCGCGGTTTTAGATTAAAGGTTTGTCAGGTTAGAGCAAAATTCCTTTCTTTGAATTTTCCTTCGTTTTGTAATCTGTTGATTGGTTGAGCAATAGATGTATATATATTGATCGTTTTGTCTCGATCGTCAACTCGATGAACCGATCCGCCATATATACACGGCAATACCGCACAGGCGTTATCTCGGACCGGATGACGAGCCGCAAAGCAGCCATCACTTTGGGCTTCGCTGCCGGTGCAGCCGCCAAGTTCGGCATGGCCAGCGCGGGCAGTGTGGGGCTGCTGTTCGCGGGCAAGGCAGTGGACCGACTTGCGAATGGAATACAGGTGTGTGTGTGGGGGGGAGGGGGAGACCCCCGGGAGGGGAATCTGTGAGCGGCGGGAGCGTGTGTGTGTTTGGGGTGTGTGGGGGGGGGGATGGTCGTGGTACGGGTTAACGAGGGTGAGGAGGGTTTTGCGGGGATTGCGTGGAGGTGCCAAACGGTGTGTATGTGTGCGCGTGCATGTGTTTGTGTGTGTGTGTGTGTGTGTGTGTGTCGTTCTCTTCCTTTTCCCCCCCGGGGGTGATGTGCGGGTGTCGTGACATGAGTGGCATAGGAGCCGTGCCGCATGCATTTAAAGTCCTTGACTCTCTTTTGAATTTTCTTATGTAACATGTAATTTGGAAAAGAAAAGACCATCTATCACACCTGTACCTATCTGACTACTTACTTGGCTAGCTAAGCAATTGGCCGCCTCCATGTTCATGCGCCCCCCCCAACACACACATACACACACACACACCACGCACAGGCAGCGCCCCGCGACGCCCTCATCGGCGACCTGTCCCCTCCTGGAGTCCGCTCCGCCTGTTTCGGTCTGGCACAGTCGCTGCGGAAGTGGGGCAGCGCGGTGGGCGCCCTGGCCGCCTTCTTCCTGATGAAGGCCTCCAACAACAACTACCAGCTGATCTTCTACTCGGCAGCGGCGGTGTCCCTCACCGCCTGCCTGGCGTTCGTAGTGTTCGTACCCGCACATACAACACGGACGACGAGTGCGGCTGCGCCGGCGGCGGCGGCAGCGGCGGCGACGGCAGCCTGTGCTGCCCCCAGCGGCCCTGCGGTGGCGGGTGTGGGTGTGGCGGCGCCGAATGGGGGCCCCGCTCTGCTTTCTGGTGCGCGGGAGGCCGCGCGTGTTGTGTTTTCCATGGGTGCGGATTTCTACCGGATGCTGGTCGTCATATCGCTGTACGCCCTGGGGCACATCAACGAGAGCCTGCTGGAGGTGCGTGTGTGTATTGTGTGGGGGGAGGAGGGGGAAGTGTCGGGGGGGGGAGGGGAAGAGAGGGTCGTTTCGTTTGTGGGGGGATTATATTTGAAGTGGTGAAGGTGAATTATAGTGTCGTTGTGGCCAGGTCTCTCGCGGCGGCGGTGGCGTTGGAAAAACGCCTGAGTGTACGGATACCGCTAACGGTTGCAGCTGGTGGTAACTTTTTCGCGGTTGGTGGTTACATACCGCGGATGTAGCAACCGCTGTACTCTTACGCCCACCCTTTCCGCCCCCATGTTTAGGGTACCGCCTCCCTCCCCTCCTCCCCCATGATTTGACATACATACATACATACATACATACATGGCCCCTGCCCCGTTGCTCCTAGGCTCGTGCAATGGAGGTGGGCTTCGGAAAGGCCGAGGCCACGTTGGTGGTGGCGGCCATAGCGGCAGTCACCTTCCTCACCGCCTACCCTTTGGGCCTTCTAGACGACAGGTGTGTATATCTGTGTGTGTATATGTGTGTGTGTGTGTTTGGGTGGGTGGGATCCCCGTGGGGGATATGGGGTGGGGGCAGAGTGAGTGCGGCGTGCTGTGTATGTGCGAGAAGGGAGGGGGGGAGTGACCAGAAAAGTGCTGTTGCTTCTGTACCCGGAGAGCTCGCCGGCCTTCCTCCGCCGACCGCCCCCCACCCCACATCGTATTACGGAGAAAAACACCCAATCCCCTGCCTTGCCCTAGCTTTCCCTAGGCTTGCCATGTCTTATCGTACATGTATACGCCCTCGTCTTGATCCCATTGTGAGCATGCCTTGGCCGTTCTGTACGACAGGTACGGCGCTGGTACGACGTTTGCTGTTGGCATTGGCGCCCTTATTGCCGGCGACCTGGTGCTGCTCCTGAGCGGCCCGCACCCCCTCGCGCTGTTCGCGTCGTGTTTGTTCCTGGGGGTGCACTGGGCGGTCATTCAGGTGGGCGGGGGCCGTCGGAGGGGAAAGAGGGGGCGTGTGTGTGTATGTGTGAATGTAATGGCATTAGGGGTGTTGCCCGGGGCGCGTGTGTGTGTGTTTTGAGAGGGAAGGAGGGTTTACCCGTACCAGTACCGCACCAGCACCGTTACCTGTCGGTTATGAAAGGTACAAAAGGTTTGTCCGTGTGTGCGCCGGAATGCGTGTAGTGTTGGGAATGGTTTCGGAGCTGCATTTGAAGATGTGTACCATTACAACTGTCAGGCACTGTACTCCCTATCCACGTCCTTTATTCATCGGTCATAATGTTCTTTTAAATGTTTCCCGCTTTTCTCTCGTCCGCACATGTATTCTGCTGTACGACGGTGATGTCATCTCCTGGGCTCTGATGCCGCCCTGATGCCGCCCCTGCCCCGCCCCTGCCCCGCCCCGCCCCGCCCTGCACACACCATAATAACAATAACAACAACAGGGTCCGCTGCTGTCCATCGTATCGGGTCTGGCCCCCCCCCACCTGCGGGGAACTGCCTTTGGCATCTTCTACACCGTCATGGCCGCAACCGCCGTTGCTGCCAACACCATGTACGGCAGCATCTGGCACACGTACGGCGCCAACGCGGCATTCATGACCAGCGCCGCGCTGATGTCCGCTGTACTGGCGGCGCTGCCGTACATGCTGCCTGCCAGCGCGCGACGCGGGGCTGCCGCGCCAGCGGCGGCGGCGGCGCCTCCGCCGGCTGCCAGTCCGCTGTCGTCCCTGACAGGCGCCCCTTCGGTGTTACCTGCAGCGGCCTAGTTGGCAAAAGGGCCTTATTGCAAATTTCAAAGTCCTGTAGGGGGACTCACCACGAACACGACTGCTCCTCCTTCGAGTTGAGCAATACCTTGTGCGTTCCGTGGGTCCTCTTGTTTGAGGGAGAGAGGGTGAGGGAGTGGAGAGAGAGGGAGAGAGAGACAAAGAGAGAGAGGAGGGGGAGGGGGCTGATGCGCTTGACTGTGACTTTTATTGGAACCGCCGCAGTCGCGCATTATGCACACGTGTGCTTCACCACATGACGACTCGACCGGGATGTGGATGCATTGCACCGCTCCTCCAACACTTAAAACGTTGTGGTGGTGTGGTACGGTGTTGTACGGCGGCTCCTCAGCGTGTCAGTCAGGGTGGCCGCTCGGAACCGTAAACCAAGAGCGGCCCAGGGTGCAGAGGGGGGCAGAGGGGAGGGAAGGGGAGGAAGACCCGTCGACACGATGGCTCAAGGGGACCCCCCGGGGGGGTTCCGCAGCCCCGGTGCAGCCCGGGGCGGTGTGGATGTGTCCGTGACCCGCCAGGGGCATCTTGGGGAGATGGTAGTGACGGAGGTCGTGATGCACGCCGTTTAGGATTTGGGCCTTCAGAATTTTGGCCACAGCGCGAGAGCACGTGGCTTGGGCTGCCTCAGTGCGGTGGTTGGGCTGCCCCGGGCTGCGGGCGACAGGACCGGCATGTGAGGCGGTACATGCGTACGAGGGTATGTCGCAATCCTGCAGTGGTGGCGATATCCGACCTCCTATGTTCTTTGTTAGTATCTGATAGACACACACGCGCGCGTGCGCACGCACGCACGTGTATGTGTGAGTGTGTGTGTGTGACGGCGCTGGTATATGTATTGTATTAAGTAGGTCGGCGAGGGGGTGTTTCGTAACGCCTGGAGGCTACATGATATGAAAGCTCTTGGGATGGTTGGGGTGTGGCCCAGGTGCGGTGCAGCTTTGTGCCGTGTTGTTGTTTGCGGCTTCGGGCGAGCTGCGGTACCGCAACGCGCGGACTTGCCGTCAATCAATCTCCCTTGCCACCGACTTACTTCGGGACACTGCTTTGCACGCTGGTGGCTTACAATCCCTCCTTCCTCTGGCCAACTTAGGGTTTGTCTCACCCCCTTCCCCCCTCCGCTTCTCCACCCGCACATAGTCAGGGGCAACATGAGGCAACGGGGTAGGTCTTGTCTCATGTAGTGTTGCTGGGTTGTGTCCTGCCGTACGTGTCGTGTGCGTACGGCACGGGCTGCGTAGTAGTTGTGCTGCGGATGTCTGCGGAGCGCCTCCTCCCCCCCCGGGATCAAGAGAGTAAGAGAGTTAAGAGGAAGTGCGGGGCAGGTGGCATAAATTCAGGCGAAACTTACTGCTCTACCTCAAATGTATATCTTGACAAAGGGAGGCGTTTGCGTAGCTGTTACTGGCAAGCAGCACTCGGTGGCTCAGGCAGGACAGAGTCGAGTGCGATTCAATTGCATGGAAACAACCGGGTGCCGTTGGTGGTTGACTGTTTGTACGCAATCGCGGAGGGAGATTGAAGGTGCGCTTTCGCAGTGAACCGCGTTTTGTGTTGTGGAGATGCGGCAGGCGTTTGGGTTTTATTGGCTAAGATGGGTGGGGGAGGGAAATGCGAGATGGAGGCGTTCGGGAGAGAAGTGATGATGTCGCTGTTGGAGGGGAGCCGAGACGAATGGATTCGTGGGGTTCAGAGGGTGGTGGGGGCATTGTTGTTTTTTCAAATTTCAAATCACGAGCGTGGAAGCGCGTGGATGGGGGGTTTGTGATACGGTGGCGTTGGTTGGAATGCGTGGTCGGGGACATTAGGGTTGCTGCTGGTCTTCGTGTTGAGGGCTTTCATGCGACCGCTGGAAAGGCGGTGGGGGGTATCTGACCTGTATTCCTCAGCTACTGCTGTAGTTTCCCCTCTTCGTTGTTACCTGTGACGTTGGTGTTGCTTGCGACTCAAGGGCGACCTGTGGAGAGGTTGCCTGAGCGTCTGAACACGATAACGTTGTGAATGTGGGGTCGCCTTTACTCCGCGCAGGACATTCAGGACGTGTCAGAGTGCGACCAGGACATTTACCTTTTTTCTCTTTTTTGTCGGAGCTATGCTCCCATCTCGCGTTGTATACCTCGATCCAGGGCAATAATATTCATTCAGGACATGTGTGTTTACTAACGTGCTGCTGACAAGAGGTCCGAAGATAAATTGATGCCTTGAGAGCTAGCTCTGTCTAGAGGTTATCATTTTATCTCTTTTGTCATGACTATTGGAATATGTGGCCCGACCGATTGAGCAAAATACACATTCCCAAGGGAACACCGAACAATTATATACCTCCATCTCCAAATTTTATTTTTAAAACATAACTTCCCCACAGCGTCCCGGCATCTTTGGTGAGATGCAGCGTTGTAGGCCGAGAACATGGCCATCGCAGCGACCATGTAGAACAATAGCTCAGGCAGTAATACCGCCCGAGCCATGCACCAGGTTTCCAGTGCAGCGTGTAACACATCACATCACTTGAGCCCGAGCCCCAGGAACGGTCGGTCGGCGTAACTAGAGAATCTCTTCTTCCAAAACGCGTCAACGTTTCACAATTTGCCATTACCGCTTAGGACTACCGCCAACGATACACACCTAGGTAGCCTGAGTCTTGAAGCGATACACCTGCAACCACCCGGCGTCACCCGTCGAGCAGCACCGAGCCACTCAAACAGTAACACGAGACTCCAGGAAGGAGAGGCACTGCAAGGCCCGTATCTGATGCACTCCATTAACTCTTAGTTCCATCCTTAGTTCCATCCCAAACACACCCGACGGTGAAGATCCTCACCGCGGCCAGCACCGTCGGACGAACCACATTCGCAAAGCTGCCGCCGCTGGTTGTTAAGCTGCTACTGCTGTCGTTGCCGCTGATGCAACTGCCCTGAGGCCGCCAAGAGAGGCCTCCCAGGAGCCTGAGCCGTCCTTGCGGCTCATCTCGTGCCCTGATTGCTTCCGCTGATGGTCGCCCTTCCCCTCGTCACGCACCGCTCCACGCGGCCACTGAAGCCCATCCGGCCGATGACCAGGAGCGTGGCGTGTCAACCCTCCCCTCCCCAGCTTCTTCAAGTGCTCCCTCTCAACCCATAGTCCTCCCTACCTGTCGCTGCTGTGTCACAAGGCCGGGGGCGGCCACGGCTCGGCCCCGGTTCGACTCGGTGGATTGCCAGAACCATGTCATCCATCCATCCACCCATCCATTAACACACAGACAGGCGGGCAGACGGACAGGCTTAGGAGGCGAAGTTGCCCAAGAATCCTAGCGCCGATCCATACGTCGAAAGGGCAGCTTTCTGCCCAGTGTCCGTCCGTCCGCTCGTCTACCTCTTGGCGCGAGCTACCAGCGCCGTCTGGCTGTCGTACTCCCACATCTGGTGCACCGAGTTGGACGGGTCGGCCAGTGCTGCCCGGTCCCTCATGATGGCCATCTCCACAAATTGCTCCTCGAACGTCTTGCTCTGCTCGACTGCGATAGAAGCGACAGAGCGAGGCGCAAGGAGCAAGAGTTGGGCGAATGCAGCGGGGGAAGGGTAAACCAATGTGTACCAAAAGTATGTAATGCAAGCGCCCCACCTTTACTTCCAACACTCCCGACCCCGGCCCCCTGCATGCCCCCAGCCAGTGAGTCCCCAGTCCCGAGCTTACACTTATGGATGGCGGACAGCTCCGAGTAGTTGGCTGCCGACCTGGCGATGAACGCTTCCTCCTCAGGCTCCAGGTTGCGAAGGAACTTGGCGGGGGAGCCAGCCCACACCTGCTCGGGCCGCATGGGACGTAGGTCGCGTTCCTTAGAAAGGGCATGTGAAGCAGAAGGCTGCACCTCCACATCCTCGGAAGAGCGGACCATGCAGGTGGTACGCCCCCTCTGCACCCAGTTCAGTACCCAATATACAACCCCACGGACACCCTCTCACGCAACACACTCAAATGCAGTGCTACCCGGCCCATGCTACCTGTCTGCTGGTCTTAAGCCCGCCCTAGCCTCAATATACCTGGCCCGAGGGGATCACCGTCTTCGGCGGCACCACAGCCCCAGCAGCTACAATGGCGCCCTTCTTCACCTGCGGATGGGAAAGGAAGGAGGCTGTTTCAAAGGGCAGTAGCAAGCCGGAAGACGACGGATAGACGCAAAGCGCACTGAAGAGTACAGCTGCCATAGCAGCACCGGCCGCTACAGCAGAAAAGACACCCCCAAAAAGCCACCGTTGCATGTGCATATTCCCGAACACACCCATGGAGAGAACTGCTTGCTCCCAAATACAAACTAAAGGACAAACAACCATAACGGACCGGTCGCCGCCAGCACCTGGGGGCCGTTCGAGCCGCAAACTACCCACAAACCCATTTTCACAGGCCTAAGCGTGAACACACGCATTGGGTCGAAATGTACTTTGGCGCCCCAAACAATACTTCCTTCCTTCGCTACCCCTCATGCCGCAGTTTACGCAGAGGCACTCTCAGTCGGTGTGCCTTCCAGACGTGGGGACCCACAAGGCCAAAATGTGACAATACACCTTGGCGACCCAGTTTGCTTGTTACCCCCAATTATTACAAACTCCTCACGCAGCAGGACACGCCTTCTCTGCGCCGGCGCCCCACATCTTCCGAAGCATAAGAAGACCTCACACGACGGCCGCCCTCACATTCCCACAACACCGAGCTGCCTTTTGGGCACCTACCCTAACCCCTTGCTCAGCCCCGGAAACCGACTCACAGTTGCTCCATCCAGGATGGTGGCCCCCATGCCCACCAGGCAGTTGTCCTCAATGGTGCACGCGTGAACCGTGGCACCATGTCCTGCGCAGGGTGGAAAGTGAAGTCCATTACCCACTCGACAGGGGGATAAGACGAACCACTGGCGAGCGAAGCAGATGGCGACAGGTGGTCGACACGCAGCCGCAGAGGGCATGCCCTGTTGTGCGAAATGATGGAGCGACCAGTATGGCGAAATGCAAGTCGTGCGCCCTGCCGGCCGGCCTGGTGTCGTGGGGGAAGGGAAGAGGAGGATGCTGACATGTACGCTGAGATTCCACGCAACCCTCTTGCAGAACCTGCCGCGGAAAACCACTGCTGAGTCCCTGAGGGTCTGCTGGAATGCCAGTTCCATGGGTTCCATAATTAGCATAGCTGCAAGCTGGCCGAGGCTGGTTTGCTGACCCCATCCCACGGCCGTGTCGCTCCGAAAACTCTCCCTCACCAATAGTGACGTTGTTACCAATGGTCGTAGTCCGCGCATCGCCATCAAGACTGTACTTAGAGACGTGCGCAACGACGTTGTCCTGGATGTTCGTGTTGTTGCCAACAAAAATGCCGTTCACGTCGCCTGAGCACCGCAATCACAAAAGCTCATCATCATAGAATCTCATATCCCAGACAACACGGGAGGAGCTGATACAACGCTGACACCTACCTCGCAGGACCGCGCCATACCAGATGGAAGAATTGGCTCCGATTTTGACGTTCCCAAGCACATTGGCATTTGCCGCGACAAACGCGGTGCTGTGCTTGTTGGGAATGACCATTTCCTTCACTTTCAGCGTCCGTGCAGCAGCAGCAGGCGCGGGCACCACTTGCCCAGCGCCCACCGGCACGTCCGGCTTACGGTGCACAGGAGCGAACGCCAGATTGGGCTGAACTGCATGCGATCAAGGCACGAAAGTTAAGCATGGCCACGATAGTAGATGGGCAGCGCGAATATATGAACCCGCACCGTGCTCCTTGATAGCACCCTGCGGGCCTTGAATCATGGAACCTAGTTCATCCAAGGCGATGCCTACACCACGAAGGACACTTCCCAGGCCATAGAGCGTTGATTCCACAAACCCCTTAGCTTTAGGATGCCGATAAGGAAAGAGGAAGCCCGCTGGCAGCGAGCCCTTGAACAACGACATGGTAACTACTACGACCAAAGAGCACAACACCTGGTTAGGCTTTCCTGTCAGTTTGGAGTGAGTGCCGGAAGAATAAAGTACGGCATTGCGGTTCCTGTTTGGGTTTCTTCGCTGTCCCTCAAACTCCTCGAAGCGTATGATCTTGCACGCACACGGTGACTAAAGCGATTTGGCAATCAAACTCTGTCCAATTTTGTCAAAAGGGTTCTCCAACCAACTCAAGGATGCGGGACGAAGGGGCCGCGATATCGAGCCCCAAGCCCGCCCCCTTCTTGACGGATGAGCAGCGTGCGGCTCTCGATCAAGCTCTTCGGGACAAGGCGCAAGGTGTGGAGGTCGGGAGATCGCCTGGAACCGGCGGCGGGTATTGCCAGGCAGGATTTGCTTTAGCCCGGACTAGAATGCCTTGCAAGTGATGCCTGCACTCTGGGAGGCATGTAGGCATTAAGGGTGCAAGTTTTTGTGCTGACGTGTGAAAATTGCAGCTGTACATCGTCTCAGGCAAGCCTCTGTTTTCTCCCCTTTCGCGTTCAGAGCAAGCGAAGGCAAGAGCAGCTGCAAACCACAAGGCTGCTGCTGCTTCTGGAGAGCGCAAGAGCCGGTCGGGTAAGCTGCGTACCGTTAACGGAACCCAAACGGGAGCTGATAAGAAGGCAGCAGCTGAAAAGACATGCACAGGGCCACATAAACGGTAAAATACGGCAATCCATCTCGACAATCCTGCGAAACTGCAGAACGCTGATCAGGAAGTAGTACACAAAAGGGCTTTGCAAGCGTTTACCCAGCCCCGCAGCCCCGGCGTTAGCTTATCGTTTCATCGAAATGCTATTTGATTACCATATGTAGATTTCTGTTAGCTCCCTGTGTCCTCATGGCGCCGCAGCCCGCACGGAAGCGCAATAGGTACCTGCCTCAGTTTGCAGAGTTTGCCACCCTGCGTTGAACATGCGAACCAACCTACTTCCAGCCAAACTATCCACTTGCTTCACAATCGTAGGGAAACCATGCCTGGAGGAAACATTATGAGGACAACAATTAAGAACTGTTCTAGTAACTACTCGCTCCCCAGGACCCCCCAAAACGTCCTAACGCTGTAGCCCGGACGTTTTATCGTCCTCAATGCTGCCCCGTTTGCTAACCCCCCTGCCCCTCGCTTAGCACGTTGATTGGGTTTTGGATTATCACGAAGTGGCAAAACCTCGCAGCACCCTTATCGCATCGTGACGTTGACCTACCGTAACCTGCGCGGTTTCCCGCTTCTTTTTTTTCCTTCCCGGCGCAGCCAAGGGCCCCGGCGGAGCCAAGAAGGGTGGCGGCGGTGGCAAGTACACATGGGGCTCGCTGTTGACGACGGGGGCGCCTGCAGCCAAGGGTAAGCGCTGTTCTTTTTTTGAGGTGGACGACCCAGCCAGGCCACGCAAGGTTTACAGATCCTGGAGGGGGGGACGGTAGTGGAGGGGGGGGGATAAGGAAGGAAACCGCAGCTGCAGCTGCAAAGATTGACAGATTCGTTTTGGGGGGATGATGCGTACGTGATAAATTAAAGAGTTAGGTAGCCTTGAGGACGTGATTGCAAGGGTTTGATTGCTAGGGAGCTCAGTCCGGACTAGGGTCGGGGTCGGGGGCTCCAAATCACTGACTGACACGCGTCCTGTTGATAATTGTTTTGAGAGGCCATTGCTGCGTTGAGCGGCGAGGCTTTGGGCGCTTTGGAAGAGCGGCAAAAGTTGTGTTTGATTTCTGAATGGTGCACATGTTCGGCATTTATGCCCCGGTTAGGCACTTGGAGGGGCCGGACTCTGAAGGGGGCCAGGCCACTGTGAGGACAGTAATGGACAGTAAGGGCATTCCGTACATCCGCCCGCGCACATTTCCAAACTTTGCCTCATGATTTCACATTGCACTGTTGTCGATAAGCCTCGAGAGTGCCTTGACGGTTGATAGTCGCTGCTTAGGACGCGAGTACACATGCACACGTTCAGCTTGTAATATACACGGAATACATAGCAAGTTAGCCCATGTGGTGCCAAAGCACCGTGTCGAGCAGTGTTGATTGATGCTCCCGCTGTTATCCGACGCACCAATTTGGCCTCACTGGTCTCAGGGGATGTTGCCCTGGACAAGGGCGACCCCAACTATGACTCTGAGGAGGACGAGCGCGATGTGGTGCTGCTCCGGAACCACCAGGCTGCACTGCGACAGGAGGTGGCGGCGTACAAAGAGCAGGTGGAGAAGGGATGCATGCTCGGGGGGAGCTGGAGAAGAGCTTCGGCGGCTTGGCCGTTGGGACTTTCTAATCGGCTCGCCTTTTACCTGTTGGTCCCTCCTCCAAAGGAGCAAAACGATTCTAAGGGGGTTGAAAAGGTTGAGACAATGGAGGGTCATTCACTGCAAGACATTTTGAGAGACAAGAGGATGTGAAAAGAGTTCCAGGCGGGTTTAGAGGAGAAAAAGGAGATAAGAGACAGGAAGTGATTGGGTTTGGAAGTCGTGGAAAGGCGGATCTCATTTGGTACCTTTTGCAATGCTTTTGTTGCCGGAATGCCTTCCTTCTCGCCTCTCCTCGCCCTCGCTTCTGCAAGTAATTATTTATGCGCAAATGCAGATGCAGTTGGAATATTCCCCATTCCGTTCCTACCTTGCTGTTGGTAACAGGCCTCCCGTCCAGCAACACTCCCCCTCTTGCCTGTCCTTTTCCTTCCTCTGTGCTCTCCTTTGCAGGTGCGGTCCATCGTTGAGGAGTACTTCGTGTCGGGCTCCGTGTCCGATGTTGCTGAGAGCCTGGAGGAGCTGGGTGCCTCCCACCTGGCGCACTACTTTGTGAAGCGGCTGCTGACGACGGCACTGGACCACAAGGACCGGGAGAGGGAGATGGCCTCCACGTTGCTGTCCAGCCTGTATGCAGAGGTATGCCCGAGGAGAGGAGGGGGGAAAGGGTTGAGGAATTGGGTGCAGAAAAAAGGTGAAGAGGAACACAGCAAGGGCCTGTTCGTGGGCCCGTTCGTGCAGAGGAGGAGGGGGCAAGGAGGAGTGAGGAGGTAAAGGGTTAATATACGGAAGATGTGGAGAAAGGGCCAACCAGATTCAGGTCGTCGTACGTGTATGGAAAACAACAATCGGGAGTTAAGAGATCAAAATGCCAACGGTTTGCTAGCGACCAGAGACAAGGTGCGAGTTTATGAACGGGGGCGCTCGGGAGCACGTTCGATGCTAGGGGGGGTTCGGTACCCCGCCTGTTTTCCCTCCCCCTTGCCATTTTTCCTATCCCTCACGGCCCCTGCTGTCGTCGGCAGCAGTGGATTTTTTGCTCGTCGCCTATAATGCTTCCCACCACACACGTGTGCCTATCTATCCAGGTGATTGCTCCTGACCAGCTGATCAAGGGCTTCACCTCCCTCTTCACGTCCCTGCCCGACCTGGTGCTGGATGTCCCCGAGGCGCCCGAGCTGCTGTCGAGGTTCGTCATGAGGGCAGTGGTGGATGACGTACTGCCACCGGCGATTGTGTCCTACGTGGACCCGGTGGGTACACGCGCGGGTCGGGTCCTGATGGATGGCGTCTGGGTTGCTGTGCAGCTTGGGTTTCGGAGGGGGGAAATGGAAATGTGGCGAATGTGAGTGCAACAGGTGAGGGAACGGGAGTTCTGGATGGCATATTCCATTCCAAACATGCTCCCCGTTCACACCATCCCGCTTCACCACGGACGTCTCCATCGGTATCAGCACAGTCCCGAGATATTCGGACTATTGGAAGGACTATTGGATATTCGCTTGCTTGTGGCGTATGAGTCCCACAGCCCACTTCCAGTCCAGCTCTTTCCCCCGCCTCTGTTGTTCCTTGGACGTCAGCGTTATTTGGGTATCCCCCACCTTCACGGACGCCTTTCGGTCAGTCCTACGTTTGATACTCTCTTGTCCTGGCAGCAGCTTCAATCGTGTGTGCTTCGTCTTTCCACCTCAGGAGTCTGGCCCCGCCTGCCGGGACCTCCGTCAGCGTTGCGAGGCCCAGCTGGCTGCGCGACATAACGCGGAGAAGGTCCTGCGGTGCTGGGGGGGAGCAGGTGAGGGGGGGGGTAGTAGGGGGATTGTAAGGAAAGGGGGGATAGAGAGGGGTATCGAGGGAGACTCGGAATCGGGAGGGAGGGGCTTTGGAGGTTTGCGATGTGGGATGTATGCGTATGTATGCGGGTGGCGCGCACGCAGCAGGGGCCAGTGAGAAGCTCACCATCTCCATGGGCCGCACCGAGGGTGTGCCATATCAGCGAGACGCACACGAGCGACGAGCCACGTGCGGATGTCGTTCAATCGGGCCATGGGACTTTGTCACATGAAGGCATGAGCGTGTGGGTTGCTTGAGCGACGCAGTGAAGTTGGCCTGGCTGGGGTCGCGGCTGCTCTTATATAGTAGCGCCAATGTATACGAGTCATTGGTGCCCTTAGTGCTTTCCTGACGCGTGTTTCCTCTTCCTCCTCCTGCTCCTCCCGGCGGTGCTGCACCTGTATCCTCAGGTACAGGCACCCACTTCACGGACAGCAAGGCCGCCATCTCCTCGCTGTTGGCCGAGTACCTGGTGGCCCGTGACCTCGGGGAGGCCAGCAGGCGGCTGAGGGAGCTGGGGCTGCCCTTCTTCCACCACGAGCTGGTGAAGCAGGTAGGCGGGGTGGGTGGGGAGCAGGGGGTTGGAGCGTGAGGCAGGGCATGGGGGAAGGGGAAAGGCGGGGCGGGGAAGGCCGTCCTGCCGACCGGGCCTCCCTCTTCCCGCCCGCCCTCAAGAGTCCTGTTATGGTTCCGATTATCTTAAGTCCTACCCCTTGTCCCCTCCTCCCGCCGCATTGTGCAGGCCCTGGTTGCGGCGCTTGACAATCCCAGCCATGTGGATCCCGTGGTGGCGCTGCTGGCTAGGTAAAGGGGGGGGAGGGGACGGAGGGTTTGGGGAAAAGGTGGAGGGGGGAGGTGATGACGAGCTGGGTGGTGATGAGAGTCTCCGCATATTCGGACTCGTATGTATGGGATGGTAGACAGACCAACCGATTATTTAGTCCTTATGCCTCTTGTGTCTTTCTACCACAGGTCCACCATTTATCTTTGGGTGCTTTCCCTTTTGCACATCATTCCCCACCATTGTCGTCACCACCGCCATCGTCATGATTATCACCGCATCGCTGCCTTTTCCTTTCGCTCATTGCTTGCAGGCTCTCCTCCTCGGGTGAGGTCTCCTGCAGCCAGCTGGCCAAGGGTCTGCGGCGGGTGGCGGACAACCTGGCGGATGCGGTGCTGGACAACCCGGCTGCGGGGGAGAGGTTCGCTCAGCTGGTGGCGGCTGCAAGGTGACTTGACTTAGCTTTTGTTTCTCACTAGGCCAAAGGGTATCATGCCATTTTTCCATGCCGTTTTTCTCTGAGGTGCAAGACGGGAAGAGGGGCTAAGCTGCTAAGGGGAGGAGGAGGAGTGGAGCCCGGGATAAAGGCCACCTGCCGCCGCTCATAACCCCCGGTTGTGTGGTCCTGTCCTTCCGCGCCTACAGGACGGCCAAGGTCTTTGACGACCTGGAGCCCGAGGACATGGGCACCAATGCCGCGTTGGCGGTCTTTGGCACCCCGGCAGCTGCGGATGGCGCCTCCGGGCCGTCCTCCACCTGCGCCAGCAACGGTGGTGGCGGCGGTGCGGTGGCTTCTTCCAGTGGCGGCGCGTCTGCGGGCGGTGTGGTGGTGGCGATGCCGCCGGGTGTGGCTGCGTTCAAGGCGGCTTCCCTGGCGGCTCTGCGGGAGTACTTTGACTCTCAGGATGCTGAGGAGGTGGCGGCGAGGTGAGGCTGTGATGCATGCGGTACATGCCGGGTGCCTTGGTGCGGGTGGCTGCATGTGATCTAGGTGTGCGGATGTAGGTCTGTGTTGTGGGTGCATCGTTTCCCGACCGGTTGATTCGCGATAGGCTGACTGACAGACTGGCAAATGATACTGGGAGTTTCGGTGATGGCAGGGATTACAGATGTGGTATAAGACGTGGAGTCTCGCATGGCTCGTTCGCAAATCTTTACATAGCTTGCGTCAATTGCATCTTGAACCGCCGGGTCTATCTCACGTACGGTCATGTTCGGGTCCGCTTTTCTGTTTAATACTAAACTATAATAATAGCCGAATAATGTGAGAATGAACTGAAGTCCGCGCATCCTCTTAAATTTCCCGGTATGTTTTCCTGACTGTATGTATGTGTGTATGTATCCATGTGTATGTCTAGGTTGGTGGCGTTGGAAGAGCCGGGTCTTCACCCGCTGTTCGTGAAGGCGGCTGTGTCACTGGCTCTGGACCGAAAGGACCGGGAGAGGGAGCTGGTGTCGAAGCTGCTGGTGGCGCTGGTGCCAGAGGTGGGGGCTGTGGGGTTGAGGTCGGGGTTAAGGACGGAAATGTTGTACAACGGGAGATCTTGCCGAAACCAACGATTTCTTGCTCATCACTAATTTCGCTTTTTAGCCATTTTGCGGTTAAGGCAAGCCGGAGGAACTTCAAAACCATCAGCCATCCTCCAAAACAAGGGGAACATGCCTCTTCCGAACACCCCAGGTCATTTCCCCCGAGGCCCTGGCGGGGGGATTCACTCGGCTGCTGGCGGCCGCGGACGACCTGGTGCTGGACGTACCGGACGCCGTACACCTGCTGAGCCTTTTCCTGGGACGAGTGGTGGTGGATGAGCTGCTGCCTCCCGCTTTCCTCACACAGGTGTGTGTGTGTGTGTATTGCTCGGGAGGATGGGGGGGGGGAAAATCGACCGTGAGGTGCCCGCGCTTGTCAGTTAGCCGCAACCTTGACACATTGCTGGCTGCTTGTCGGCACACCCGTCCCTAAGCGTGCGCCGTCAAGCGCGCGTGATCCCATGTCTTCAGCTGTTCCCTTCATACCGCAGAGTCTTAGAGAGCAGGTTTTTGCGCTTCTCACTGTCGCCTTCCCCCGTAGGTTCTTCCCTCCCTGGACGCGGATGGTCTGGGCGTAGCGGTGGTTCGCTCCGCGGGTATCATGCTCGCTGCTCGTCATGGCTTTGAGCGGCTGGTGAACTGCTGGCACGGGGGGGCCCTGGAGCTGGGGGCGGTCAGGCAGGCTATCAGGGCTGCCATAGAGGTGAGGGGGGCAATAGGTGCGGGTAATGCCAAGGAGAGTGAAGAGGGATTAGGCAGTCGAGTAAGGAGGGCAGGGGATGGGTAATGGCGTTTATATACAGAGGAGATACGGAGTGTAGGATTAGGAGGAGATTTGCTACATAACTTCCATCTTCGGATTGCATTAATCATTTGTGGCGAAAGAAACACCGGGGGCTAATCTTTGCTCCCGGCCTCGCTTGTCTTTCCAGTGTAATCCTTCTGGCGATTGAGATGTGTTGCTGTCCGCCCAGGAGTACGGCACCAGCGGTGATGTGGCGGAGGTGGCTCGCTGCCTTCGCGAACTGGGGGCGTCCTCCTTCTCGCACGAGGCGGTCGTGGCGGCGGGTGAGGAGGCCGCCTGCCTGGATGGGTAGACACGAAGAAGATAGCTTTGCGCAATGGGCGCGCGCGCGGGCAGAGGGGGAAATAACGGCAGGCGGGTCGTTATTAGGGGTCGCGATTGCCCGAGCATGAGAACAGCAAAGGAGCCGGCGCAGTTGCTGTGCGTGCTTGACACACTCGTTGCTTGCTGCTGGGTCTCCTTTCGCCGACTCCTCTCTCTTGACAGCTGGCCGTAGAGTGGCTCTTAACAAAACCCCAATCCCCTGCCATCCTCATTTTCGTCTCCCAAATCCCTCCACAACAGTTGAGTTGGCCTTCAGCCGATATCACGGCAAAGCCACTACTACGACCCAGGCCCCGGGAGCCAATGGCAGCGCCCAGCCGCAGCCGAAGGAGGAGCACGAGTCGGATGCTGGTGCAGCTCCCTCGGACGGCAGCTTGGAGGCCGCTGCGGGCCCCGTTGTGGAGCTGTTGACTGCCCTGGCGGGTCAGGGAGTGCTGTCCGCCACTCAGCTGACGACGGGCATTGAGAGGGTGCGGGCGGCACTGAGTGAGGAGGTAAGCTAGGGGTTAGGGGCGGATTCAGGTTCGGCTGTCTGCCATTTGTACTCTCGGCACGTGTGTGTTTGTGTGCGTGTCTGTTTGAATAACTGCGTGAGGGGTGTTGTTGCGGAATGGCTGCGGGCTGCTTGGACCTGACCGGCAGTTGACGCGACCGTCTGCGTGGCCTCCCCGCTTGAGTTGACCCAACCTTCACCTGCAATGTCTGCCTGTTTGTCTGTCTGTATGTATATATGACGGAGCAGGTGATGGACTATGGTCCTTCGTCGCAGCAAGTGCTGAACTGGATTACAGAGAGGGGGCTGCGCGAGGGCTGGCTGGCGGCAGCATGACATGCGTGCGGCCAGTAGCCCCGCTTCAACCGCTGCGGCGGCGGGGGGAAGGAGACGGACGACTCGATGAGACGGTGGTGTTCGGCCAGAGAAAAGGAGGATAGGGTTTAGGATAGAGAAAAGGAGGATAAGAGCGAGGCAGGCGGATAGGGTTTGGGGAGTGGGGACGGGCGGAGGACATGGACCTTTCAAGCTCAGGTTGGCCGTGGGGAAAGGGGCACCCGGGGGGCAGGTATGGCAGGAGGCCGAAAGGGCTTGTGCCAAGATGTGCGCATGTCCGTCTCACTGTTTGCGGCGATGGGGATGGCGGGAGGGGAGTCTCGGCGTGGAAAGCAGGGGCATGGACACGGCGCTGGGTATGCACGGCGTGCGAGGGATTGTAACGTTTAGCTCCACCTGCAGCGCTCTGCTGTGCCAAAGCAGGGCAGGCGAGCAAAGCACGGCGTACATACTCTTCCCTCTCTCCTTTTGTTGCTTGACCTCCTAACTTGGTGCCTGCTGCGCGCATTGTTGCGGTGTCAAGTGTGATTTGCTGAACCCAAAGGTTTAGGGAAGCTATGGATGAGAGCTGTCTTGGTACCGCGGCTGCATACCAAATAGATATACGCCAGTTCCGGCCATGAGCTGAGACCCCGACAGTTTGGCTTGTATTGTCCTGTTTTTCATCCTGTACCTCGCCGGGCTGCGTTTCTCGGGCGGAGACTGGAAACAAGGCGATGGTTGCTGGCATCGCCTCCGTGGTGTGGCTGGGCAGTGACGGCTCGTGGGTCAGACGATACCGATATCGCACCAGACAAAAGGCTCTGGAAGGCTGTTCGTTTAGGCACTCCTAGGGTTTGTATGAAGGCCTGCTGACGTCAGACGTTCGCGACGAAGTTACCTGCTGGAGTCCACGTCCCGTAGCTTTGCAGGCGCTCGCTGTCGGGTCCCTCTACTGGGGGCATCGTAGTGGGCCCAACGGTTGCGTGGTGATCCGGTGCCGCGGGGATGCACATAGCATGACTGCATGCCTAGGGTGCAACGCTGAGCTGCTAGGAGCCGCCTGCCCTACATCTCGGCAGGCTGCAATCCCCGCGTGCCTGCCTGTAAGCTGTAGCTAAGTCTTGTCTATGTGTCGGCACTCTCCATGTCGGCTTGTGAAGTATATGCGCCCGGCGGTTTGTGCAGTCCTGGTTCATAAAGCGGAAGGGGCCCCAGCCCTGGAACTCACCGCAGCGGCACTTGAGAGGCGGCGATATGTTACTCCTCTTGTTGGACAGTACTGACTGGCGGGAATGCGGCTGGGGAGGCGGGAGATAGGGAAAAAGCCGGGGCAGAACACTGCGGCGGCATGTTACCTATGCATCTTAGCGGGAAGGAGCCCTGCTTAACGCATGGATTTGCTTCTGCCCAATCATATATACGTACGCGACTTGGCGTGTATGTGTATTTGTGTTCTTGATTGATGGTTTGCGTACCCTTGACTCATGTTGTTGGGGTAATGCGCGGCAATACCAACGTGTATATCCAATGCTATGCTGCACGGCGTGGTGGGAGCTCGTTTTTGTGTCGGCCACTCCACTGCAGCTTGTGTAGAGCGGGCGGGTTGGTCGACCGGGTCTCTGCTGTTCCTCTGGGGACGTTACTGTGGACCTCTTGGGAGTGTTGGCCGGCTATGGCTATCGAGGCGCTGCTCATAGCTATAGATGGCAGTGATGCTGTTGGACGACGTGGCTGCTGAGGATGGCGCATAGGGAGGGAGGTGTGCGTCCCCTCGCTCATACGTTTTATGTCAAGCCGACATAAGCAACTGTGTGTACTTGTAACTGCGCAGAATTGCCCTTCCGCATCATTACATTACATTACATGCATCATCATCGGGGGTAACGACGTGACCGTGGCGCGGCAAATGCAATGGCACATGCATCAAGTTTTCGGGAGTTACACTTCGGGGAAGAAAGCAACACTGACGAATCCAAATATGGAGATGTGCACTACATGTGAAATATGGCCTTTCATATGGTCGCTTGCTTCTTCGGTAGAGCATCTTCACGTGCGTCTACTGCAGAGCATTTCGAGCAACTGCGGCAGCCATCACCACCGGAGATGCTATTTGCCATCACCGCTGCCACCGCCGCCACCGGTGTACCACTGTTCTTGCTATTGCCGAGCAGACAGGGGCAAATACCACTCTGGTCCGAAACCGGCTTTGGCGCGCGCCTCCTCGTTGAAAGGCGGCTGTAGTCGGTAAGTGCGAAATAAAGTGGTGGGGAGCGGCATAACGGGAGAGACGAAGGGGAAGGGAGGGAATGTCATGAGGAGAACTCGTGGACCGAAGACATGTCACTCATGCGCGCAATTCACGAGGCCAGCTGCCAGGCGAGCCACAGACTGCTGGGCGGACCAGGGGCTATACAACAGGTAAACAACACTTTATATATAAAGCCTTGCCCTTGTGGTGATGTGTGTGCGTGTGTTACATGGTCGTGGGGTGCGTTCCCCGTACCTGCAAACCGCCCAATACGAGCCGAGGGCGCAAGGGTCCTTATGATGCGACAGCGCGGGAGGAGGAAGAAGGCGACGCGGTGATCGTGTCCGGATATTAACTCGGTTGAAAGCACACGTGCGAAAGCCTGCTGCTTTACTGACTGCGGCATCGCGTCCGCTGTTGGTGTTTAGCGCCCCCAACGAATGCAGTTGTTATCACAACACACAATGAGGCCTAGCGCTAGTGGTTATCCCTCGTCTAAACGCTCGACAAGCAACAATGAACCCTCACCACAGCATTGGAGTTCCTTCCCGGTCTGGCAGACTTGCCTTCAGGCCGCCCCAAAAATGCGCCCGTACAAGCGAGTGGAACCATTCCTGCACGCTGCCGTACTTTCGAGCATCCAGAACCCAGTCAGGCAGTGCCGCTTCCGCTTCCGCCGCCGCCGCCACGGGCCGCTGAACCCCGTAACTCGCCTCCTCGCTTCCGCCGCCGTCGGCACCGCGGGTGCTGCAGCCGCCAGCCGTACCATTCCCAGCGAAGGGCACGCGGGCTTGGTCATGAACACCGTCGGCAGCTTCAAGTTGTCTGCTCTCTGTGGCGCCATCCCCGACCTCCGTGGCTCCTGCGGCTTCCCCCGCTTGCTCCTGAACTCCGCTGTCACCCACCTCCAACCCCGCCAATCGACTGCCATTTAAGTCCGCCTCCGCAATATCCGGCACTGCGCTGTTGCTGCTGCTGGTCGTCGCCGCAAGCCCACCGCCGTTGTGGGCAGGTTGTTGCGACGGCTTTGGGAGGGATGCTGGCGAGGCCGCCGCCGCCGCCGCCGCTGGTGCATCGTCGCCTGGCGACGCCTCACCGGGTCGCAACGTGCCATGTGCAATGCCGTACAAGTACTTGATCCACCTGATCCCAGCCGCGCAGTGTGAAACTTCCTCCTACATGTACGGCATGGCACGGTACGACGCAATATCGTGACCGTTGGCGAAATGTCGAAGCGCACGCATGCTAAAGCGCGGGTGTAACCGTGGCTGAGCTGGCGTGTCATTCCGGGTCGCCCTGTTGGGTCGCCCCGTCCGCTCGGCTGCCTTCATACACAGCTTCTTGTCGCACAGCTCTCACAATAGGACATTGCCGCCATTCCTTACGATATGCGGGACCTTCGCACTGCTTATCTTCCTTCCACCTCTTAACAAAGACCCCTGTGGGGTTAAGATTGGCCAAAACCAACACAGCTGCCCACATTGTAAGGATGAGCAACCCTGTTTTACCGGGTAAATAGTGTCCCGCAGCAGTGCGGCCGACTCGGCGTCTCCGTTATTGGCGAACTTGGCAATGCTGGCCGGCAGCACGTCCAACCCGCGGGCCTCATGCACACAGTGCTCTACCGCGAGACGAGCAGGCAATGAGTGGGCGGTGCTGGATGCGGACTCCCAGAGCCTAAGCCGGGGAGGATACGGGGAAGGCGGTTAGAGATCATTGAACTACACAGGGCGAAGGGTTGATACGAGCTCGGGATGTTGCCCCGCCCTCCGGGTCGCGACGGAGATATGAGGCTCCCGGGGGGATTAGTCCTACTTGCGAAAGAAGGGCGTGCGGTCCGTGTTGTGGTGGGTTTTCCAGCATCGACGTAGCTAGCTATAACCCGGACAGGTACTGAAATTTTGATGAGGTCTGGATTGGGGTCTTAGGCCCGCTTTTGTCCACCCCCTGCCCACCTGCCACCCCGCTAGCAGGGACAGGCTGCCGGGCCATAGACGCAAAGTGAGACGTTCTCACTGAAAGCAGTCCTGGACGTAGGTCCTTCGCGGCCCCCTCTGCTCCTCCAAACCTCAGCTGCTTTTCCCCGAGGGCCCTCATTTCGAGGAACCCAGGCCCAGGTTCAGGTTCAGGTTCAGGACTCACCCATCATGTACGGCAAACGCACCATAGTACGAACCTATCTCCTGAAGGCCGCGGCAGAAGCGAAGAAAGGGAAGAAAGGGACGGACGTCACCGGGACGAAGGGGCTTGGGAGGGGACAGGGGAGCGGGGGCTGTTCAACTGTCTACAGGACGCCGGACTCCCCCAATGCCCGACCGGCCGTGAAGTGCCGTCCAGCTCCTGCCCGCCTCGCTGCTTACCTCAAGCCGCTTCGCCAGCAGGGTGAAGTGGCGGCACTCGTCGTCCGCGACCTAGGCCCCTCGGTGGCGCCCATGCAGGATCGGAACAATGGAACAATGGGACGGGGGGGGGACAGGTTTCCTTACCTTGGGAGGTAATACCGAACTGACTGGACGTGACACGAGAATGGGATGATGCGCTTATATCTACTCCCACATCGTGCTTCTGGCAACGGCACAGCATACGACAGCTGGGTCGTCACTCGAACGCACCGTGACGAAATCGTCGAAGAACTGTCGGGGCATGTCGTACTCGTCGGGCCGCAGACCGAACCTTGCCACTATATCCCAGGACAGGTCAACTGCCCAGTTCTCAATGTGTACGGCGGAGTGCAGGAGCGCCTGGCGGGAGGCTAGTGTACCGCCTTTGCCACGGCGGGGAGTCTGCGGGGTTCACCGAGTGTGTGTGTGTGTGTACAGCGCTCATGTAACCTGCCGTGTCGGTATTTGCCATACAGTTTTGACTGTTCCTCTTGCCGTACCTCTCCTGGCGCGCACACGCGGACCTGCAGGTACGCCGAGACAAGTGGGACGGAGAGGAGGGCGCGGGGCGGGGTAGGAAGGAGGGGGAGTAGGAGGGGGGTTAGGGAGACGTAGGGCCCTTGGAGAGGTTTGGAGGTGAACGGAGGTTGTATCTACTCGGGGGGTTGGTGGTGAGGTACGTCCCAGCGCTTGCCGCCGTGCAGGGCATTGCCAGGGGGTCCGTGTTTTATTAGGAGGCCACTTAGCAGTGACTGCTGGCTGGGTTGCGCAGCAGCATGATTCCGTTCCCTTGTAGGCCCCTGGGACGCCGGAATGATAACGCCGGTTGATGTTTTGCAACGATCTCAGAAAGGGGGAGGATGCGGCCCAGGCCTTCGGGAGGATCCGAATTGGATGTACCAGCAGGAGACGGACATCACCTTTGGAACGGCACGAAGGAAGAACCCAAGTGGGTGAACGTATTGTTTCGCGCTCCTGGGCTGCTGCCCGAGCTATAAAGGTGTGTGCACTGGCGCAAGATGGCTGGCGTGACCGATGCTACGGGACCTCAAAGCGTCGATTTGGCAACTTAGTTTGAGCAACTCCATACGACGCCGACGCGGTGACCCCGTCGGACACTATTGCGAAGAAAATTGAAGCATACAAGTTTCCAGTCCTCACCGTGTCGTCGGAGCGAGCGGGCCGGTCAGGGGCTCGAAGGTGTTGCCATTCTGCAGGCCGGATAAGCTTAATTACGCCTTCACGCCACATCTTGACTATCGCGGAAGTATATTCTGCTTTTCTCCAGGGATTGGGACATTCGAGGACCTTGAGGGCGCACTCGACGAGGCTGTCTTCGGAACTAGGTGGTGGCGGCACTACCTGCTGAATCTCCATTTTAAGACCTAGTGCTGAGATAATTGTGTGTACGTAAAATATGGCGTGCTCAGCACGATACCGCTGGTCAAAGGAGCTGACGACCGAGAACTTCCTTGATCGGGTCCGAATTGTACATCACGGAAACTGAACGCGTTCCAGATATCCATTCTGCCCCTTTTGATTTCGCTACTTGCTTGGATAACTTTGCACACAGTATAACTCGTTCCGTTCAGCGCTTTCTCCGACTTCACAAGATCACTGATAACTTGCAACCCAAACACAAATCCCTGCTTGAAGAGCTGGTAAGCTAAAACTTAACAGGATGCATCCTATCGGATGCTCAGCGCAGCCGGCTGCGCGATCTTTCCGGCTCCGTTTTGTTTGTTTGTGGGTATAAACTACTCATAAAACATTAGCTATGAGGCTACACATAAGATATTCAAATACTGACCTGACAACTTCATACTATACGTTTCCTTAGCGAAGCTCACACGGTGTCGGTGCACATTGAGTTTGGATGCCGTACCAGCAGTAGCCGCAGCGTTACAAAGATATCAGAAAGCCATTTAAGCTCCATTCTTATAACGTGTTTCGGGGAAGGAGTGGTTGTCTCGTACACATGGATTTGACTGAAAAATACAGCCCTAGCGGCTTATAACCGTTGCCGCTATAAAACAACGGTTACATGCAACGACCTTTGTACAGCATAGGAGCGAGTGAGCACGCGGTGATATCCAAAAGGTCCTTTTTGGTGAGTAAGCACTTCAGGCGTAGTGAACCTATCGTATTTATGGAATGCTCTAGCTGAAAACGCCAGTTTGCGCATTCCTGAGGATGTCAGAATCGCAGAGATTTCCTTACTGAAGTGAAGCTCGGTTAGTTGGAAGGCGGTGTAAAGCTAAGCCATCTTTGCAACACAGCGTTGTAACCGCCATGTTGCCTCGAAACGGAGCAACTGTCCGACGGTGGCAGCACCACCCGCTTGCACTCTATCTCTCCTTGGCAGTCAATGCCTATGTGCTTATATACGTGATGTTTCATCAAAGGACAGTCGAAAAAACCAGCACTGCACCCGCTGATCATCTATTAATTACCGATTATAAACGGGCTCAGCTAGCCGCAAGCCAGCCGCTCTTTGGAAATGCTTGGCCTTCCTTGACGGGCGGCTTGCCTGAGGTCTGGGCCTTGGGAACGCTGGGCGCCAACGAAAGCTTTGCGTCTGACGTTGAGGCCAACCTGTCGCCTGCTGAACGGGAAGAGCTTCAGGCGCTGTGTGGCCGCTGCCTTCACCAGACCATTACCAAAAGCGTGGAAGTCCGGGGCATCGGCGAGAGCGTCTTTGTGGCGACCGGTGGGTGTGTGGGTATTGCAAAAGCAGCAAACGGGAGGCGAGAGGGGGACGGGTCCAGGATAGAGGAGACAAAACACGGACGCAATTTTAATGTAACTAATACGGAAAGGCACGTTGTCCGTTTGAAGGCCCGGGGGGTGGGTGCTTTCCCGGTTCGGTGTTTCTGACCTGAACAGGGCTTCATGTGCTTCACTTGGTTTCGTCTTCTTAATGCTTTTCCAAAGACCACACTCACACTAAGGGCATTTCCTCCCAGCCTCCGCTCATGCGTACCCTTCTTTTCCAAACAAAGCTTTGTCGGGAAATGCATCCCAGTGCGCCCTGCGCGCGTTCGAGTCCTTGTTCCGGGCCCAGTCTTACCCCTTGTACCCTCCCCTACCCTTCCCCTACCCTACCCTACCCTTCCCCTACCCTTCCCCTACCCTACCCTACCCTTCCCTACCCTTCCCTACCCATCCCTACCCATCCCTACCTTACCCTACCCTACCCTACCCTTCCCCTACCCTACCCTACCCTTCCCTACCCTTCCCTACCCATCCCTACCTTACCCTACCCTACCCTACCCTACCCTCTCCTACCTTCCCCCGCCCCACCTTTTCACCATCTCCTCATGTTCCCTCGGGCCCCCCAACCCCCACCCCCCACCCCGCGTCCCCACGCAGGAGACATCCCGGACGAGTGGCTGCGTGACGGCTCCGTGCAGCTATCCGTGTACCTGCCCCGACTGGCCGAGCACCCCGTGCTGAGACCCATCATCGAGGGAGCCATCCGCACGCAGGTGCGTGTATGTATGTATATATGTGTTGGGGGGGGGGGGGGAGGGGCCTCGCCGGCACCAGCCTGTGGGAAAGGTATCTTCGCAGGAGGGGAAAAGCCGCTGGGGACCGACCGGGGGAACGAAAGGGAGAAGGAGGGGGACAGAAGACCAGCCTACCATTCTGCCAGCCTACCATTCTGCCAGCCTACCATTCTGCCAGCCTACCATTCTGCCAGCGTACCATTCTGCCAGCCAGCCGGCCAGCCTGGTACCTAGCTGGTCTGAGAATCATGACCGTCAGCCGGCATGTGGCAGCGGAGCTTGGCCGGCTGCTTTCCGACCCACGGGTCACTGATCCACCTCTCGTCCCTCGTCCTCCTCCCCACAGGCGTACTACATCCTGTCCGACCCCTGGGCTAACTCTTACCGCAAGGACTGGGTGCGCCCCGACTCGCTGGGCAAGTTTGAGCGGCAGATCGGTCGGGGGGGGTGGATAGCCACTCGGAACTTTGAGGTGGACAGGTGGGCCTGCGTGTGTGTATGGGAGGGGGGGGGAGGCAGGGGGGAAGGAGGGAGGGAGGGGCAGGGGGGAGGGAGGGGCAGGGGGGAGGGAGGGAAGGAGGGGCAGACAGGTTGACTTTATTGACAGACAGACAGACTGACTGACTGACTGACTGATTGGAAAGGACAGAAGTGGAGTTCTGGGAAGGTGGGCATGGGCGACGGACAGGCGGGGTGGTAGGCGGGGAGGGGGGAAGAGGAACACCCGCAGATTCCGGAAGCCGCGGCGGGCTGAGTGACGGAGTGTGTGGGTGTGGGGCTCGTTGGTGGGCCTTAGCAGCGGGGCCTTATCCCTATAATCCTGTCCATGTTACTGGGTCAGTGCACGCGAGACATACACACACACACACACGCGCGCGCGCGCACACACCCCGCAAACCCGCCTCCCCAGGGCATTAACTAACCTCAAACGGACTGCCCGCTGATTCCTTTCGACTTGATGGGCAGCTCCGCCTAAGGCCTAAGGCCAGGGCTGCCACGTCACATACATACATACATACATACATACATACATACATACATACATACATACATACATACATACATACATACATACATACATACATACATACATACATACATACATACATACATACATACATACATACATACATACATACATACATACATACATACAACAGCATCCCTTGACTAACTCCCCGCTTGTCTCTCCCATATCCCACTCCCACCTGCCGCTTGCAAATTTGTTGAGCCATTGCTTTCACATCCGGCGGTTGATGATTTTGGCATCGCGGCGCTTGTTCCTCTTTGACTTGCCCATCGCAGCCAACTCTCCCCCTCTTCCCCGGCCGGCCTCCTCCCTCCGCCCTCCGCCCTCCTCCCTCCGCCACCCTCCCTCCGCCACCCTCCCCCGACCCTCCGCCCTCCTCCCTTTCCCCGCCACCCTCCCCCGCCACCCTCACCGGCAGTTCACTTCCCACTTCCTACTCGCACATGCTCCCCCCTCCCCCCCCGCCTCCCTCCCCTCAGCGGCGCCTACTGGCTGAACCTGCTGTGGAACTACGCCTCCACCGAGGGGTCCTTGTGGGCCGCCGCCTCCTTCCTGAACTCCTCCCTCGTCCACGACGCCGCCGCGCTGCTGGTGGACACCTGGCGGCTCGAGCAGCGCCACGAGGAGGCCAGTCCGTACAGATACGCGGAGCTACCCAGGGAGGGGAAGGGCGCGCTGTCCAACTACACGGGTAGGGCTGTAGCTGGGGGGGAGGTTGGGGGGGAAAGGGGGGAGTGTGGGCGGCCGGGAGCAGAGCCGGGAGCAGGGTTGCGTCTGTTTAGATGGTTCGAGCCGTGAAATGTATTCTAAGGGGATTGCATGTGTGTGCCTGTGTGTGCCTGTGTGCGTGTGTGTATGTATTGAAACATCTCCCTACTTCCCCCCTAACCTCCCCCCTACGTGCCGATCCCCCGGGGGTTGTGGCGGCCCCCCCAAGGTATGATCTGGTCGGGCTTCCGCCCATCAGATGACCCCAACACGTACGGCTTCAACATTCCGGTAAATGTGAGTACGGCACGGTTGCCTGCGGGGTTGAAGGTTTGATGAATAAACTGCGGACGCAGAGATCCTCTCGATCCAACGCGGCGTTAGAGTCGGCGGCCCAAAGTGTCGTCGTGTCCCCGTGTCTAAAACGAATACACGGCCAAGCAGGGCGGCGCGTTCCTAGACGACTTGGAGTAATGGAAGGAGGGAAAGAGAGGCAAACTGGGAAAGGGTCCCAGGAATGCAGAATCGCTGCGCGCCACGTTACCACGTTACCAGCGAAGCAAAACTAAAGCTTGTGTAACTGTCTTAAAACAGCTAAGCGTCGTATGTGACTTTAAAAGTTACGAGAGTGTTATTTGTACAAGTTCATAACAGGGGAACACCGAGGCCGCCGGGTTCTCTTCCCGACCTCCCGCCACCCTAGATCTAACCCTAAAACCCTAAAACCCAGTGTTACCCCCCCCGTCCTGAATCTGTCTTATCCTGGGATTATCCGTCTATACATGGTTTCTGCTTCACTCGTTCGTGGTTTGTCCTAACCCCCGGCCTTCTGCAAACCGGGTCCCCTGATGCACCTCCACCACCCCAGTCCCTCCACCACCTTTTGGGACACCCTGTTTCACTGTCCCGCTTGCCATGTGGGCTCTTTCGTAACTGGATCCCAGAGCTGACTCAGCTGTATTACAGGTCTCACGTCTCTTTCCTTTGCTCCGCACCTTGTCCTTCATGGGCCCCCATGCACCCCCAGATGTACGCCGCGGGTTCCCTGGAGCGCCTGGTGGAGCTCAATAAGCTCGTGTGGAGGGACCCGATGCTGGGGATTGCGGCGGCCAAACTCGCGGAGGATATCCGGCAGGGCATTGAGAAGTTTGGCGTGGTGGGTGAATCAGTGAATGAGCGAGTGGATGAGATCTCGACCGAGGGGTGAGGGGAGGGAGTTGGGAGGTAGCGTAGGAGGGGGGAGGGGGGTGGGGATGCGCGGTGGGGCGGTGGGGCGGCCGCGCGCTGGAGGAGGCTCGGAGGATGGGGCGGATGCGGTTGTCTTGCGGACGTCCGCGGGAGGGTGGGGGCGGTATGTCGCTCGAACCCGCCTCTGCCCAAAATGCCCCGCCCTTTCCGCCCACCTTTTCTCAATTTCTCTTCCCGCAGCCACCAAGCCATCTTGCATTTGTCTTCTCCTGTTTCGCCCCTCTTCAAAACCCCCCTTTCCTTCACATCACCGAGGCGAGTCCTCAAGGTCATGTTGGTATTTCGCTGAGTTGCCTAATTTGGAGATCATCACGCATACGTGCTTTGGAAATTATTACCCTTCTTCTCCTCTTTTCCCTTTTTCTTCGGCGGCTTTCACCCTGATGTTGGGCTAACATCTGGGTTTTTGAGCGCGCTCCATTCCCGCCAAAAAACGCTCGTGGCTCGGATCATGACAAAACACACAGACACGCCTATTTTCCCCCGATCTCCCCCGCTACGGCCTCCTTCATCCCCTCCCCCAGGTACCTTTACCCGCTGAAAAATCCGGCTCCTCCTCATCCCCCTCCACCATTTACGCCTACGAAGTGGACGGTCTGGGGAAGGCGTTAGCCTCCTTCGACGACCCCAACATCCCCTCCCTGCTGTCGGTGCCGCTGCTGGGCTACCGCCACTACGACCCGGAGGTGTACGGCCGAACACGGCAGCGCATCCTCAGCCCGGCGAACAGGTGCGCGTGTATGTGTGCCGGCTGGGAAGGACAGCCGGGACGAGGGCGAGCGCGGGCACCGATGTAAGGTGGTGAGGCGGAAAGGGAGAGAGAGCGGAACGGGGTGGCGACTGGCGTCCACCCACCGGCGCACATTCGTTACCTTGATTTAATAACAAGAGGTATCATCTCGTTGTTGGGGGGGGGAGGAGGAGGCCGGGGGAGCGCCAGACAGCACCGGGTGGCTCGTGGGGCAACCAACCAGGCTATGGCGCGCATGTGCTGAAAGCTGGCAACTCGCATGCATCCCTCCTCCCTATCTCCTCCTTAACCCTATTCCACTCCCGCCATCTACCCCCTGTAGTCAATAAGGCCTTTTTAGAAACCCTCTGGCTTTTGAGCCCTTTGCAAAGCTCTCCGTCATATCCTTTCCTTTCCTCTTCGTGCTCACCTGCTCGCACTCCCCTGCGCTCCTGGCCCCCTGCCGCCGCCTCGAGGCGGTGGTTTGCACGTTATCAGCAATTGCTGCTCAATCATCTTTGCTGCTGTACATACTTCCCATCCCCTTCCCAACCACCTGCTTTTTGCATATACTTGGGGGCCTCTTCCCCTCTCCCCCTCTCCCCCATCAGCCACTACTACGCCGGCAAGGAGCTCCGAGGTTGCGGCTCCCCGCACACCCCGCACCGCTACGTGTGGAGTCTGGCGCACTGCGTGCAGGGGCTCACCAGTGAGGAACCCGGGGAGCGAGCCGACCTGTTTAGGTGCGGGGACGGGGACGGGGACGGGGACGGGGACGGGGACGGGGACGGGGGGTAGACAATAGCAGGGGTAAGCGGAGGGTGGAAGTTGAGGGAAGGAGGGAGGGGGGTGGTGAGGGGAAGACAAAGGCGAACCCGAGGATGTGTAGCCCGAACATGGCCGCCGTGAGTTTGGAGGGATCAATACATCACCGGACGGGACCCGGGCGCGAGCTGCGCGAGGGGATGTATAAGGGGGGGGGGGAAGCGGCACCCGGGGCCCCCCTTTCCAAAGCCGGTGGCCGGGGCTCGGGCCGCCCTCACCTGCTGGCTCTTCTGCACTACCCGCGGCGCCGCTGAAGTGAGCGCACTCCGCGACTCCCATGTGCCCCAGACCACCCCACCCGCCACTCCCCAGCACGCGCCGACCCGCCTGCCCCGTGGGCCCCCCGCAGGCAGCTTCTCAAGATGCAGGGCGGCAACGGTCTGATGCACGAAAGCAACGACGTGGACCACCCGGGGCAGCTCACCCGGCCCCTGTTCCAGTGGGCCAACACGATGCTGGTGGTCTACTACGAACAGACGTTTGGTCGCAGCTGCAGTCCGGTGAGTAGGCGGCCGCATGCGGCGGGCGTGGGCGGCGGGGTGGGGGCGGGTGGCGGGAATGGGGAACGAAAGGTGCAATGCGGGGTCCGGTGGTAGCTACAAGTTACAAGTTCCGCACAAGTGCGTGGGTGGGTGGGTGGGTGGTTGAGTGGGTGGGTGGTTGAGTGGGTGGGTGGTTGAGTGGGTGGGTGGTTGAGTGGGTGGGTGGTTGAGTGGGTGGGTGGGTGGGTGCACGTTCGTCGTCTGGAGGAGAGAGCCGGGGGAGTCCATGGGGCTTCCGGTGTACGTCTCGTTGTATGTACATCCTGGCCCAAATCCGGGCGCCCGGACTCCTTTCC